GTGGATCTAAATGAGAGGGTACAGACTATGAGGTCAGCTTACAAAACTCAGTACTTCTAGCAATAGAAACATGAAAACCAAAACTAAAAACATAATGCTATTTAAAATTGTTCAAATAAAATTCAATTCTGTGTTGTAAACTGAACAAAACAAATACAGAACTTGTGTGCTTGACATCATAAAATCCTGATGAAATAAATCAGAGATCAAAGTAAATCAACATTCAATGTTTACGGCCGTAAGCCTCAGCACAGTAAAGTTGTCCACCTCCCTAACTAGTATCAAGGCTTAAAGTAGTCCCCATTAAGACCCCAGCAAGACTTCTGGTAGCTACAGATAAGAATATTGTAAAATATATATGGAAGGGTAAAGAAACTAGAATAGTTAGGACTGTGCTTAAAAAGAAAACAATTTTAAAACTTATTACATAACTATAGTAATCAAGACCACATACTATTAGCAGAACAGACACAGGTCAAAGGGACAGGGCAGAGAACCCAGCGACAGCCCCACGCGAGGACAGTATGGCCAACGGTTTAAACAAAGGTGAGAAAGCAATTCAGTGGAGGGAGGGTAGGCTTTTCTTTTCTTTTTTTGAACTCCACAAAACACTTTTATTGTCATTGCTTTAAAAAATAAATATTCTTTTATATTTACCCACATTTTTACTATTTCTGGCACTCTATACTTTTTAGCAGTTCTTTTTTCCTTATTCATTTATTATTAGTATTCATACATTCAATTGCTATACATCATTTAGATTGCAATGAGACTTTACCAAGCATGATGTACCCCTTGGTCCAGCCCAGTTGAGAATACTACACACATCTTCAACAGATAATAAACCATGGCTGTAACCCACAAGTGTCTCACCTCTCTATTTTTCTCCAGGTTTCCTTTCCTATGCTCTTCCCCTCCTATACTCTCTTTCCCCTTTGTCTCCTGTGTCTATTACAATTTTAATGCTTTTATGTTCTCCAGTCTTTCAGTCTCTACCATAGAGTGCAGACAGTCGGTATATGTTAAGTGGAGACATACAATGTCTCTCTTTCATAGCCTGACTTACTTCCCTCAGCAACACATCTCCCATATCCGCCCACTGTCTATCAGATTCTAGGGCCTCGTTGTTTTTATGGCTGAACAGTATTCCATGGAGGGAGGATGGTCTTTTCAACAAATGGTGCTGGAGCAATTGGCTATCCTTGAGCAGAAAAAATGAAGCTCAACTAAATGTTACAACTTACATAAAAAGTAACTCAAATTGGTTCATAGATTCAAATGTAAAACATAAAAATATAAAACATTCAGGAGATAGTACAGAAATTCTGCTGAACTAGTGCTTGGTGAAGAATTCTCAGATGTGACATCTAAAGCATGAACCATTTTTGAAAAATGAATGGACTGTTCTTAATCAAAATAAAAACTATTCTGCAAAGTCTTTTTCGGGAGGATGAAAAGGCAAGTATAGGCTGGGAGAACATATTTCCAAACCATATATAAACATAGCACTCAAAGGACTCAGTTCGAGAATATGTAAAGAACTCCTAGAATCTAACAGTGAAAAAAAAGACCCCAAGAATTTAATTAGAAAATGGGCAAAAGTCATGAAAGACATTTTACTTATGCTGATATACAGATAGCCAATAATCACATAAAAATGTTTAACATCATTAGCCATCAGAGAAATGCCAATTAAAACCACAATAAGGTATCACTACACACCTCTTCTGGCTTTTCCAATACTAATAACAGAGTCATTAATACCTGAGTCGTTTATGAAATAGAGGCTTACTCAGTTCAGAATGCAGAGGTCCAAGATCCAGGGGTCGCAGACAGTGAGGAACTTCTTGGTGGGTAGCATGGCAGAGGGCAGGGGTGAGTGTGTCTGTGTCCATGTGTCTCTCCTTGTTCTCGTTCACTCTCCTTATAAATCTGCCGATATTCAGGTTGGAGAGGGGCACCCAGATAGCCCGATACAGACTGGGACTTTGTGTGAAAATTACAAATGTGCAACCACCACATGACCCAGCAAACATACACGTGGACACTTGCCTCATAGAGACCAAGATGCAGATTCACACCAAAACCTCTACGCAGTTACTCATAGACGTTGTATTTGTAATTGCCAATAACAGGAAATAACTAAAGTATCCCTCAGTAGGTGAGTGACTAAGTAACTGTGGTACACCCAAACTACGGACTCCTACTTAGCAGTACAAAGGATCAGACTGTCGATCACAGAGCTTGGATAGGCTCCCAGAGGGCATTACGCTGAGTGAGAAAAGCCCCATTCTCTAAAGGTCTCATACTATATGATTCCATTTATGTAACAGTCTCACGATGACAGAATGACTGAGATGAGGACAGACTAGTGGTTGCCAAGGTTAGAGTGGTAGGAAGAGGTGGGAGTGAGTACGAAGCAGAAGTGAGGAT